AGAGCAGAAATCATTCCGAGCCAAAGAAACTGAGGCCTTGAGCAGGGTCTTGAAAACCGAAGGGGGGGAACCTGAACAGTGGGCGGAGGAACCCCTTTCACAACCAGGTAATTAAACAGACCCGCGTTCGGTTCCGACTCCTTTAATGCTCCATGAGAATCTACCATCTCCACCCATTTTAGGTACATTAGATTTATCAGAAACAATACACTGATCCCTGTCTTCTGGGGGCTTACTCTCTGCTACAGAAAACAGACAAATTGTAAACAAGATACACGACCCTCATTGCCTTACTGCAAGAAACTGTTGTTACGTGCTGTCGAGTCGGTTCCGACCCCCCGCGACCCTGTGTACAACAGAACGAACCACAGCCCGGTCCTGCGCCGTCCTCACAATCGCTGTTATGCTTAAGCCCTTTGCTGGAGCCGCGGTGCCAAGGAACTAAGCCTCGTTAACTCTATACCGCCCTGCCAACCGGTCCCCAGCTGGGACTACTTGCAAATACTAGTTTTCAAAGAACCTTCAACATCCATCTTTTCGCTCTTCCGATACGCTTTTACCGTATCGTCCGATTCTCAAGCCCAGATCTGTGCTAACTACCGTCCTTCCGACGCCGACTCGCCCCCTAACATCTCGTCGTTAATATCAAATCTCTCCGCGGCAAGGTCCACGAACTCCCGGAACCCCAAGGGGTTTTAACATTTCCGTCTCCAGAGCCCTCCGCTCAACCCAAACGCCCGTCCTCCATCCCGGCACCTTGTACTGAAGCGTGCGTGGCTCAATCATCTCCAGGGGTCTCCCGTTCACCTTGATGAGGCCGTTGCCCCGCTTGCAGTGAGCCACCGCTGTAGCGGTCTTCTGCGGAAAGCGAGACGCAGACAGCGGGGCCGCGTGAGTTTCGGGCCCCAACTCCCAGGTGGACCCCAGCCCCTGCCCACCGGCCTCTCCCAGACCCCGGCCTCCCCTGGCCCGTCCCACAGGGCGCCCGGTCCACCTTGCGTCCGAAGACCTGTACGGATTGCAGCGGACCCTTCGACGGCATGGCTGTGGCCTTAGACGATTGA